GGTCAGCTGGGTCCCCTGGCACCTGGGCTCCTTCTTCTCCTGCGCGCTGTTTCTAATCCACAGGGACCCTCCCTGGATGATCATAGCTTCAGTCCATCAACAACCAACCATCCTCGCGACTCTTCTCTCCACTGCTAAACCAGTATAATCCAAAGGTTTATCCCTAAAAATCTGTCCTGCTGTTCCAAAGAGATTTAATTTACTGCGAATCCAGCCCAAAATATTAGTTTGCCTGCCCCTCCCCCTTAAGTGTATTAAATAAATGACTTCCAGAAAATTGTGATAAAGTCTAGCAAAATTTGAATTTTTTTTTACAGAACTAAAAGTTCTTTAGGAAGATCTCTTTGTAACATCTTGTTGTAAGACCTGCAGATGATTGGCATTGCATCTGCTCTCTCATTAGTTCTTTAGCATGGAGTTACTTCCAGAATTTTGTTCCTTGTAAACTTGCTATCATGTCTTTAATGGAGTCTTTATGTAATTTGGTGACAGTGCCATAGTACATGGTGACCATCAGCCCATAAGGTATTATGTGTTTGTTCAGAGGGAACATCAGCCACTGGAAAACGGCCTACCCTTTGGCCTTCACCTTTGGGTTCTTTATGCCTTTCCCATGACATTCTTCACCTGTGTCCTAGAGTCTAGAGTCCTGCTCACAGAAGGAAATAAAATAAATTTTGAAATTTCAATGAAATACAGAGAAAGGACTGGGGATGTGGCTCAGTGATTAAGTGCCCCTGAATTCAACACACCACCACCACCACCCCCGGGGGAAAAAAAAGAACTTCCTTATTATCCAGCAATTTCATTTCTGGAATTGAAAGCCAAAAGATACTTCAAGAATGGAAAGCAGGTTCTCATTCATGTTCACAGCCGAACTGTTCACAGTCTAAAAGGAGGAAAGCAACCCACAATGGAGAAGTCAATGAGCAGAGGTCCATATAGACATACCATGGAATATTATTCAGTTTTTAAAAGGATGGACGTTCTGACACATGCCACAGCATGGAAGAACCTAGGACACTGTGCTAAGTGAAATAACCTGTCAGGAAAAGACAAATACTTTGTATCTGAGTGTCCCTAAAGTAACCAAATTCATACAGTCAGGAGGTAGAATGTGGTGACCCTGGCTAGGGGAAATGGGAAAGGATAATTAGCATTGACTGGGGATGATGTGTCAGTTCAGTAAATTGAAAAGAGTTCTGTCAATGGATGGTGACAATGGCTGCATAGCAGTGTGAATATACTTAATGTCACTGATCTACTCACTTAAAAATGGCCAAGATGGCCAGGTGTAGGAGCACATGCTTTTAAACTCAGTGACTGGAGAGGCAGAAGCAGGAGGATTGCAAATTCCAGGTCAGCCTGGGCAATTTAGTGAGACCATGTCTCAAAATAAAAAATACAAATGGCCTAGGATGTTGCTAAATTGTAGAGTCCTGGTTCAACCTCCAGTGATGAAAAACACACAAACAAAACAATAAGACGGCTAATTTTAGGTTATAGATATTTTATCTCAATTTTATGTATAAAAAAGAACACAGGAGTAAAGGGAAGAAGCTCCAAGCACATTTATGTGAGCAAAGGCCTCTGGCTTTCCTCAAGTCTGAGTCCCAAGTTTCCTAGAAGAAAGTTATGGTTTTATTTTGTGTTTTGAGCATAAGCTTTTAGATTACTGACTGGTGAAATGAACAGGCCAGGACACATCCCCTCCCACTGAGCAGCCAGGCTTCTCCTCATTCTGCCAAGGCATCCTGTCCCATCTCTTCATGTTCCAGCAGAGGTTTGCTCCCACACTTCACAAGGAGGGTGCGCATGGGTGAAAAACAGCCCTAGTCATCCTGCCATCATTCCCCTTCCCACTACAGAGTGTGTACCTACAAATTGCTATGTGAACTAATGGATAGAAAGGACACAGATGAAATGAGAATTGCATGTTCCTAACAGAAGAGTTGGCTTTCACTCACAGATGCACACGGGGACTGATAAAGTGTGCTCTTTTCCCTGGTGAAGTTTGGTTTGTCAATAGCATTCGAGTAGGATGTTTGCACATGTGGTTGTAATCATAACAACTGAGAAGGCCCAGGCAGGAGGAACAAATTATGCTGAAACTAGTTGAAAGTTCATTCTAGATCAAAGCAGTCCCCTCTGCATGGTGTTTGCACTGGCATTCCTTATTTACATTTTAATTCCTACCATTCTAGAACCAGTTTTCTTAGGCCCTCTTAATGATTCTCTTGCCTTCACTCCTTTCCATATGTGGCTAAGAAAATAACAAATGTGGAAACACAAGACGTAGGAAAACCTGTGCTGAGCAGAATGACAGGAAAGGCACTAGGTTGTTTCTTTCTTAATGAAGTCTTCACTAGAATTTTTAAAATAAGGACTATATCTCCTTGCTGCCCTCAAGTGGTATAAAAATACAATGCTATATTGGAATTAATCCCCAGTCCAGGCTCACTCCCAATTCAGGCTAAAGAATCTTAAAATGTCCCTGTTCCTCGAAACAGCTTAGGTTTCATTCATAAATGCTAAAGGCTTTCAATTACCCTGCTTAATAGGAAATACAGGGGAAGTTACTCTTGTTTACATTCCTTAAAAACAAAGGAAAAAATATTGTGTTTTTGAAGGAGAGTTGCTAGGTTGAAGAAGTCTTGGAAGGAATCCTGAATCAGAGAATGAGGACCCATCCTAATTTTGGTCCCATGATGTCCTTTTTACTCCTT